AGAGTTGTGTGGTTACAACCACATACAAGGTCCATTTTAGCAGAGGGGACTATCAATGAAAAAGGAGGATCTACATATTTTGACTTTGGGAATTAATTAATATTTTGAGTTTGGAAATGGATTGATTTTGGGAATATGAATCCAGAGAAGGATCTAACAGTTGTTTTTCCAAAAACTAACCTTGAATCAGTAAATATGTACTCAATTAATTTCCTTGGGATTGAAAAATAATAATTAGAAAACTTTGTGAAAGCATGACAAAGAGTATCTGGACTTTAAAGAGTAAAACAAGAAAAAAATATCAGCTAACACACGAATAGTAGAAAGAAAACATTACATAATTAAAACTATAAAACTATTCAGAAGGAATACCTCATTCTCTCTACAGGAATATTGCTTACTGTACCAATCAGAAGTTAATTCAGCAGTGAGACATGGTGAATTCCACTCATAACACTGCAGTAGCTAGCTTTTATTGATGCACACAAGAGTCTTTCATCTACTGTAAGAATATATCAGAAATGCTAAAATTATGTATGTATTTGTATATTCTCAATTAAGAGATCAGCATGTACCTTAATACACTAATATATACCATTTACCTACATTTATATTTTTTATGAAGCATCTTACACCATGTACCAACAGCAAAGCCATCAAAAGGAATAGAAGTTAACATTGTAGTGTCAGGATTTACTAACAGTTCTCTTGCAATATCATACTTGACTTCAACTTGAAATTTATATTTTACGTAAAGAGAACAATTCTGATATCTCAGTTAACGCACCAGCATTTCTCATTTTTTTTTCTTAAAGGATGACCTGTAAATTAGAGAACAAACACAAACTCAGGAGTCCTGCATGGTCATTTCTCCATCTTAATGATATGTACAGGAAACATGAGTTCAAGCAATCATATGAATGATCGTCTTTCTCATGTAGATTCTTATGACCTCATCCTACATAAAATTTAGGAGCAATTGCTTAGAAAATGCTGGGTTTTGGAAAATGTAACAAGTATCTGTTTTGCCAGCTCACTTACTTTGAACAGCAAGTGAATGAGGGTACATATAGACAAATGGTGGAATATATGTAAGACTCTTATGGTGAGGGTTCCTGGGTGATTGTATGCCAAATCCCACAGATTTCATGCCAGAATCAGAGGGAGAAATTCTGCCTTGTTGAAGTCAGGAGTAAGGATTTCACCTGGTCTGAATGGTTCACAGACAGTAGCATAACTGATGGATCAATTGGGACAGCAGCCCCAGGCACCATCTTTGTGGGGTGGAAGGGTGCAAAAATAACCTCAGCCATAGCAGCGGCTGATCACGTCACTGAAATCAGCCCCACAGCAGCAGACACTGGACTAGATGCCATGCAGCTGCCCTGGGTGCAGAGCTTCCTGCCTACGCCTCTGCTTACAGCAGACAGGTTTCCTTGTCATGTACCCATCAGTCTACTGAACACAGAAGACTTTGCATGATCTGTGAATTAGCGCAAGAAGGGGAAGTTTACGTTGATTAAGTCAATATTCCTGTGCATGCACGCACGCTCGCGCGCGCACGTACACACATACACACACACAGTCAATTCTCATAGTAAACGTTGGCAAATTGCAAGGAGCACGTGATCTGTAGTGTAGACTATTCTAAGTACTCCCTCTTTCCAGTCACATTATTCTTTTCTTTCCTGTAACATTTCGGCAATGTGACTTGTGCAAAGGTAATGGGAGTTTATAGTGGCTGGATGGTATCATGGGATAATGCTACAATGCTGCACTGCCACTCCCAGCAATTTCTGGCATGATTTATGTCCATCTGCTCCCCTTCATACTGCAGTCCAGAGGGGAGCAGATGGGATCTGCTCGATTGTCTTCATCTGAGGCTCATATTCATTATAACATAATTTTTAAAATGACAGTCTCACTGTCAGCAACGCTACTCAGCCATGTTTTTTTTTTCCTCACAGAAACAAAAATAGCTCTTC